AGAGATCTGTGAAGCTGAAGCGCAGGTTTTTGCTTCAGAGCAGTAATGCAGTTGTTTCACAGCCTACGAGATGGCCCTCAGGCAGTTGAATACTTCTCACCACTTGCCTGTACAACAAGTAGAGGCCAGACAGAAGACACGTACTAAATGTGTTTTAAGGACTACTACTCCCTGCAAGCTTGAACTGTTTGGTAGAGACTTGGGTGTGAACCCAGGTATTGGACCTGACTTACCTAATGAGCAGCTTCAGCGCACGGGTTTGCAAGAGCCATCAGCTTCACAACATTCCTTTTGACATTATCAATGCTGAAAAAGGTTAGATGTCTGAATAGCACTGTGACATGGAAAATAATGAAACATAGGATACTTAGAGCCATGCAGCCTCTGTCCCTCAGACGCAACTTCTTTTCTCTCCCTTCCATACCATGGTCACTGGAATGAAATTAATTACATATCGTTTTCTGCATCTTTTTCTATCAGCCTTTTTATTCCTTTTTCCCACTTTACCAATGTCTGTAACTTCTTCCTTGTGTAGGAAAACTACTGAGTAATGGCAAAACTCAGTTTTCTTTCAGGCACTTGATAACTTTTCAGAAAACAAAATATTTGAGCTTCAGAGTAGTGGGAGAAGCTCTGAGGTAAAAGTGAAAAAAAACAGTCTCAGAATCTTTTATGTCATTACAAACTGTAAGGAAAAAAAAAGAGTAATAACTAAAACATTATTTCCAGCTTTATATAAACTGCACTTAAAAATTATCTTGGAAAAATGACTGGTTTAGTTAACAGCATTTTCTCATTAAAAGGTTTATTTTTATTTTTAAGAGGGTTTTTTGGTGGTGTTGTTGGGTTTTTTTTTGGTTTTTTTGGCACCCCACAATTTGCTGAAAAGGGGTAAGCAGACAGCTGTTACTGAAATGTCCTGCCCTCTCCTCCCTTCTGCAGCACAACAAATTTGCCATCCAAACCTTGCAGCACCCTTAACATGGAGTGGATGCAAAAGCAAGCGCAGGACAAATAAAGTTAATTAGTACCTTAGAGGCATTTCTGAGTGTTGGAAAGTTTGCCAGCGACTCCCCCAGTTGGCTTGGTTATCTGGCAGGGGTTTCTTGATGAGTTAAACTTTGCTGGGTTCAAGGGAGTGCGAGATAAGAGTTGCTTACCTTTCACATGTGGTCACCAGTGCAAGAGAACAGTGGGAATTTCAAATTTGGGCAAGAAGCTGCATAGCTGGGGGATGCCAGGGGAGGAATGGACAACCCCAAAGGACAAGGGGCTGTGCTGGACACCCGCAGCAGGAAGAAGCGACGTTGTGTCAGTATGACTGCTGCCTGTGGCCCCGTCGGCATGATTTGTGTGATCACAGCGGACCACAGTGAGAGTCAACACTGGCAGCAAGTGAGGTGCCAGCTGGGCCACTCTAGGCTTGGTGGCAGCATTAGGAAGGCAGCTGTGAACACCTTTTTGTTTCAAAGAGGGAGGTGGTCTTCTCTGATTACTGGCCAGACTCATCTGTATTTGAAATCCCAATGCCTGTACAAGCCCTGGCCTGCACCTGGTGGGGCCACACAACCTCGGGGAGTGAACTGGACCAGAAGGGGCAGGAGGAGAAGCAGCCCCAGCCTCTGTGGGGGGTCTTCCTTGCAGCAGAAGCCCTTGCACTACAAGGCTGGTACACTGAGCTTCATTCCCTGACTATGTTTTTCAGAAGGCTTCAGCAGGGCCTGTCCCTGATGGTGGCCTGAGAAGTCTGAGCCTCCTCCAGACCCTCAGGCTGGCCAGGCAGCGCAGGCCCCGGCGTCTCCATGGCAACCCTTGTCCCCTCACCCCTGCGGCGGGGAGAGGTCACCAGAAGGTTGACTCCCACCATGCACTGCGGTCGGCAAGGAACTACAACCCCCAGAAGGCCCTGCGGGGAGGCCTGCCCTCCTAGCAGGCAGTGCGGGCCCCCCCGCCAGTACGGTGACGCTCCGGCGCCGCACTACGACTCCCAGCAGGCTGTACGCGACCGCCCGCCTGCCCGCCCCGCGGCCGCGTTGCCGGCCG